AAAGTCAGCAGTTCGAAACTACCAGCTGCTCCGCGGGAGAAAGATGAGGCGTTCTGCTCCCGTAAAGATTTACACCCTCGGAAACCCTGTACAGGGTGGCTATGAGTTGGAACCGACTCCACGGCACACAGCCACCATCACCATGGTTTCTATAGCAATGTTTTTCTATCTCTTTTCTCCCCATTCCATCCCCACCAGGACTCATTTGAAAAGACTTGCGAAATGTCTTAATACACTCCTGCTTGTAGCTCCTGCTTATTTACAGGTCTAGGGGAAACAGATGTGTTTCCTTTTTTTAAAAAAAAGCCAATTGACAAAACAGACTACACAGAAATACTCCTCCTTTTGTATCATTCAGCCTTTTGTTTTAGTTTGGTAAATTTAAAGAAATTTCAGCAGCAAAGTAGTTATTCAGTGGGCACATGGACTGCAAAGGCCTCAAGTTATGTATACCTGTCTCAGCAGTAAACTTCATTGTCCTTTGTTGGATGATATTTTTAAAAAGGATATAAAATAAATTGGATTAAAGGGCAAAAAAAAAAAAAAAAAATCTATGGAATTATCATTTGAGTGCCTGCATAATAATGAATAGTATACTACCATTTAAGCATTTTTCTCTGTTTATGGACATTTAGTTACTTCTTTTTAGTTGTTATAGTTTTCATGAAGATCTTTGTACATAAGAGTATTTGTCTACATGCATATTATTTTCATAGGATAAATTCCTGAAAGTAAATCAGTGAGTCAAATTGCATGAAAATATTGACAATTCTGCATATACCAGGGACCTTCAAAGAGTTTGTGGAAAAATTACTTTCTTTTAAAATTCTTGTTTGTCCACAAACCTTTTAAAGCCCCTGGTATTTGGCCAAATTGCTTTCCAGAATGGTAGACCCAACTTATACCCACACCAACCATACTGTGAGTAAAACTAGTTGCTATTGAGTATCTGCAGACTCATGGCAACCCCATGTATGTGACGGAGTAGAACTATGCCTAGGATTTTCAATGACTGATTTTCAAAAGTAGATTGCCAGACTTTTCTTCCTGGGTACCTTGAGTGAGCTCAAACCTCCAATCTTCAGGGTAGCAGTTGAGCATGTTAACTGTTTGCACCACCCAGGGCCTCCATTAGCCAGGAAATTTTTATTTTTATGTAGCCTAAATTTTTAAAGGAGTCCTGGTGTAGCCCTATAAGTAAGTCCTGGACAACAAACTGCAAGGTCAGCAGTTCAAACCCACTAACCACTCCTCAGAAACTCTATAAAGGGTTGCTATGAATTGGGACCAACTCAACAATGCTTAATAACAACAAACTTTTAAAGGACTTGCTTAATTTCGTCGATACAATTTACCACAAACTGCTGGTCATTTGTATCCTGGCTTCTTTTTATGGTCCATGATTCACACTAAGAAAGCAGGAAGTCAAGTAGACACATAAAATAGGGCCAGGACTCTGGAGAGGTGATACTCAAAGGGCCATGCAAGTGCCTTCTTAAACTTTGTCCCCAAGGTACCCCTTTTGGTTCACCCTAGTCCCTGCTCTGGTACATATGTCACACGTTTTTCCCAAAATCTCCATGGGAAGCATATCCAGGGTGAGTCCCCTCACACAAATTATGTGGAGTAAAGATTAGAATGCAAGGGCATTAGACAATGTTTCTAGAATCTCTCTTTCTCCCTCGAACATTGGATACATAACTTGTCTGTAACCCCAAGCCACTGCAGTGATGACAC